AGGCAGACAGAAAGACAGATAAGAGCTAGACAGATATACAGACAGAGACAGACAGACAGATAGATAGACAGATATACATGTTTGTGTGTAACAGCAAAAACAAATAAAGCCAGGGTTCCCTGCAGCAGTGCACTATCATCGTGTCACTCCACTGCTTACCCTGTCAGCAGTTTAGTGACACTCGTCATAAACACCATGCTTCAAGAAGTTTCGTATACAGTGGACCCTCGAGTTTCGTAAGCCTCGCACTTCGTAAATTTCACCTTTCGACAACTTTTTTGTCAAAATATAGCCTCGCAGTTCGTAATTTGCCTCGCCATTCGTCGGTCGTCCAGAACACATATGAGCGGCCTCCCAGCGTCCGTGCCACACAAAGGCACCCCACCCACCATTCCCAGTTAGTGTGGCATTGTTTATTGGCGAGTGACCATCACCCCACTCATTCATATGATAAATTTCATAATAATCAATTGTTTTTTGTGCTTGCAACTGCTAAATAAGCCACCATGGGCCAAAACAAAGCTCCTAGTGCCAGCCCTTTAGTAGAGAAGGCAAGAAACACGATAGAATTCAAGAAAGACCACACCAGCCAGGGTACTTCTCCACACACACCATTTGATTTGAGCGAGACTTGCGCACGAGTGAACAAAATTATCAAACCTTATTGCTTGGGGAGCATTGAAAATTGGGTTGGGCAAATATTCTGTTAGTGGGATGGTTTGTGAAAGACCTGCCTAGTATGGGCAAACAGGTCTACTGCAGTGTTCCTGCTTTCTCATGTTATGTACACCAGCCAGGGTACTTCCCCACACACACCAGCCACGACACTTCCCCACACACCAGCCAGGGTACTTCCCCACACACCTGCCAGGGTGCTTCCCCACACATCAAACAGGGTACTTCCCCACACCAGCCAGGGTACTTCCCCACACAAACCAGCCAGGGTACTTCCCCACACAAACCAGCCAGGGTACTTCCCCACACAAACCAGCCAGGGTACTTCCCTGCACAAACCAGCCAGGGTACTTCCCCACACAAACCAGCCAGGGTACTTCCCCACATAAATCAGCCAGGGTACTTCCCTACACAAACCAGCCAGGGCACTTCCCCACACAAACCAGCCAGGGTAATTCCCCACACACACACCAGCCAGGGTACTTCCCCACACACACGATTTGATTTGAGTGGGACTTGCGCACAAGTGAATAGAATTATCAAACCTTATTGCTTGGGGAGCATTGAAAACTGGGTTGGGCAAATATTCTGTTAGTGGGATGGTTTGTGAAGGACCTGCCTAGTATGGGCCAATAGGCCTGTTGCAGTGTTCCTCCTTTCTTATGTTCTTATGTACACCAGCTGAGGAAATTGCTTCAGAGGAGGAGGAGGAAGAGAGAGGGAAGAAGGTGCCTTCTTCAAAGATTAAGGACATCTGTGCAAAGTGGAGTGAGGTGCAAACATTTGTGGAGGAACATTACCCTAACCCTCTCCCCTCCTCCCATTTTCTATACACCAATGAGTGTCTTCAATAAAGTTAAGTGTGATGTTATCATTGTTTTATATGTACTTGATTTCTCATTCTTTTCTGTACGTAAATCTATATTTAATGTAAAAAATATTTTTTGTTAATACTTTTGGGTGTCTGGAACAGATTATTTGGATTTACATTATTTCTTATGGGGATAATGGTTTTGCCATTCATAAATTTTGCCTTTCATCAGACTCTCTGGAATGGATTAATTACAAAATCTGAGGGTCCACTGTATACTCAAGCATGTCTAAAACATTGCTGAGACCTATAAATACTTTGTACATGTTTCTAGACAATAGTAAATGACCAAGGCAGGTGAAAATGTTCACCTGTCAGTGTGATTGTGACTATCTGAGTACTATTTCTGTACCTAATATTAGCGTCAGAACAACGATTGGCTATGAAATCACAAGAACTACAGTATTATAAAATGTAATTTTCAGAACATAATTTTTTTTTTTCAACAAGTCTGCCGTCTCCCACCGAGGCAGGGTGACCCAAAAAGAAAGAAAATCCCCAAAAAGAAAATACTTTCATCATTCAACACTTTCACCTCACTCACACATAATCACTGTTTTTGCAGAGGTGCTCAGAACACAACAGTTTAGAAGCATATACGTATAAAGATACACAACATATCCCTCCAAACTGCTAATATCCCAAAACCCCTCCTTCAGAGTGCAGGCATTGTACTTCTCATTTCCAGGACTCAAGTCCGGCTATATAAAAATAACCGGTTTCCCTGAATCCCTTCACTAAATATTACCCTGCTCACACTCCAACAGATCATCAGGTCCCAAATACCATTCGTCTCCATTCACTCCTATCGAACACGCTCATGCACGCCTGCTGGAAGTCCAAGCCCCTCGCCCACAAAACCTCCCTTACCCCTTCCTTCCAACCTTTTCGAGGACGACCCCTAGCCTGCCTTCCTTCTCCTACAGATTTAAATGCTCTCCATGTCATTCTACTTTGACCCATTCTCTCTAAATGACCAAACCACCTCAACAACCCCTCTTCAGCCCTCTGACTAATACTTTTATTAACTCCACACCTTCTCCTAATTTCCACACTCCAAATTTTCTGCATAATATTTACACCACATATTGCCCTTAGACAGGATATCTCCACTGCCTCCAACCACCTCCTCGCTGCTGCATTCACAACCCAAGCTTCACACCCATATAAGAGTGTTGGTACTACTATACTTTCATACATTCCCTTCTTTGCCTCCATAGGTAACGTTTTTTGACTCCACATATACCTCAATGCACCACTCACCTTTTTTCCTTCATCAATTCTATGATTAACCTCATCCTTCATAAATCCATCCGCCGACACGTCATCTCCCAAGTATCTGAAAACATTCACTTCTTCCATACTCCTCCTCCCCAATTTAATATATAAATTAAATAAAAAACGAGAGAAAAAGTATATTGGCAACACCTCTGCAAGCGGCAGGACTCGACATTGCCGTCGGGTGAGCATCCAGCGCCAACTTCGCAGTCTTATATCTTGTTAAGTACTGGTCCAAAATTTTTTTTTTTTTGGTCTTCTAACACACAGAAAATTGCCCTCTTTAATTAAAAAAAGAAAACAATTTTTTTTTTTATATATTTGGAGCACTGCACGAGTGAATGTAGATCTACATTTGGACAGTTTAAGGGTTAAGGCACTGAAATATTCAATCTGTATTTCCAAATATTCAGGAAAAAAAAAAAAGAAAAAGAACCACTAAAACAGTTTTGAATACATACTCCATGTTCAAAATGCAAATTCAGATCTGCATATAATCAGTATGAAAGTGAAAATCAACCCCACAGACATCCAACAGTAAGGCTAAGTGATTAACATACAGAAAACAATATCAGTCCAAGAACAGAGCCTTAAGGAATACATAGGGCAAAGGAGATTGCTCAGATTTGGTCACAGACTCCTACTCAATATGACCAACACAAAAAATATTAGTAGAAAACCTGAGGTTGCAAGATCATAGCTCACAGTTCAATACTATGTAATTTAAATTTAGTTTTTCTTTTCCAATAGAAACGTGACGACTTTTAAGGCACGCAGGAGTGGAATTCCTTTCTATTGGCAGTACGCATTTCTGCTATGGAGTGTCATGGCAGGCAGGCAGGAAACCGATCATTATGCATTAGGCAGCTTAACTGTTTTAGCAGTACAGGGTAAAGTGTGAGGGAGAATGAATGAATGCAAACTAAGTCCCACATGGGTCAGTGTATATCACTGCTCAGTTTTTCCTTCTTTTCATCACTTCATCTTGTCTCTCGATATGTATCGTGGTATCCAAATGAAGTGCAGGTGATACTGGTGAAGCAAGGAAGGAAGCACAAAATTATGCTTATTTCAGAAAGATTATTGGGTAATTGAGACGCTGAAGGGTGGTGCATGCATCATGGAAGAGGCCCTAGCATCTGGTGTTCGAGAATCAATGATTCGTTTAAGACAATAATACGAAGATAAAAGCTTGTGCAAGAAATAACACTCAATGTGACATGGTGAAAAGAATGAGAAATAGATTACAGTTAAATAAACATAATGTTTACTAAATGTGTAGACTGAAAGGCCAACAGAGAATGGTATTTCACCTGATGTCCTTTTTATTTGGGACAAAGCCTTATACTATAAAACAGTTTATGAGGAGGAAGGATAGCCACAAAACAAGTGCACATTTAGTGTTGGATGGTTTAACCAGTCTAGAATACACAGTGAGCTGCAAACAGAACTGCAGCAACATATGATAGAATACCTGAGCACTCCACAGTATCAATCAACTGGTGAAGCTGCATCAGAATACAAGATCCCCAACCTTCAACATCACATTAACTCCAACCGTCAACCGTGGCCCAAAAGATCCACACCCACCCTCTCCACTCATTTCAAGACATTAAGCATCACTAAGCAACCTTATTTATCCCATATTTTTCAGTTCATAAATCAGAGAAATCAATGGCAGTGCAATTTTTAGGAATGTAACCCACATAAATTATGATCACCCACTGTATTTCAGAAGAGACAATGCAGTATCCCTAAGGCCACAGCCTAAAGATCACTCATTAGTATTCCATGATCAATAGTATCAAATACAGAAGAAAGGTCAAAGAAAATTAGCAATGACATTTCCTAAACAAGTGTTCAGCATCAAATCATTGTAAACTTTACACAAAGCCATATCAGTTAAGTTAAATGACTGATACACAGACTGAATGCTAGGAAGAACATGGCTATACTGCAGAAGAGGAAACAATTAATTTAGAATAGCACATTCAGTCAATTTAGAAAGATGTGTAAGATTTAAAACAGGACAATAGTTTGAAATGTTCCCAAATCAAAGAAAGGCTTAATGAGGGAAATAATCAAAGCCTTTTTCATTGACTGTGGAAAACATTAATTTTGAAAACAATGATTAATCAACAGTTATAAAGGGAACAGCAATATATCCACAACTTACTTGGCTATTTGAGATATTTGGTCTTCTGTTGGCTCAGTTTTGGACTTCTCAAATACATCCAGCATTAAAAGAGCTAGGTCTGCACCACTTGTTTGCTGTCGAATAAAAGCACTCAATGAGAATTCTGTTTAAGTAAAAAAGATAAACAAAATAAGTTTCTGTATGGAAAATATCAGTCAAGAAAAATTAAAAATTTTTTTTCATCTTTGGAAGTTAGTTGTGTAGTAAAAGTTGTGTAGTAAAAATAATGTTTGGCCTGTTAACCCTTTGACTGTTCTGGTCGTATATATACGTCTTACAAGCCACCGTTTCTGACGTATATCTTTCTTTCTTCAACAAACTAGCCGTATCCCACCGAGGCAGTGTGGCCAAAAAAGAAAAACTAAAGTTTTCTTTTTAAATTTAGTAATTTATACAGGAGAAGGGGTTACTAGCCCCTTGCTCCTGGCATTTTAGTCGCCTCTAACAACACGCATGGCTTACGGAGGAAGAATTTTGTTCCAATTCCCCATGGAGAAAAGAGGAAATAAACAAGAACAAGAACTAGTAAGAAAATAGAAGAAAACCCAGAGGGGTGTGTATATATATGCTTGTACATGTATGTGTAGTGTGACGAAGTGTAAGTAGAAGTAGCAAGACTTACCTGAAACCTTGCATGTTTATGAGACAGAAAAATGGACGCCAGCAATCCCACCATCATGTAAAACAATTACAGGCTTTTGTTTTACACTCACCTGGCAGGACAGTAGTACCTCCCTGGGCGGTTGCTGTCTACCAACCTACTACCTAGATTTCGACGTATATATACTCATAAATTCTAGCGGCTTCAAATCAAGCAGGAGAAAGCTGGTAGGCCCACATGTGAGAGAATGAGTCTGTGTGGTCAGTGTGCACCACATAAAAAAAATACTACAGCATGCAGTGCATAATAAGAAAAAAAAAACTGACCGTTTTTTTTAACTAAAATACCGACTTTGTGTTCTATTTTCGTATAGTATTTATGGCTGTATTCTCGTTTTCTTGGTCTCATATGATAGGATGGAAAACATATTATAGAAATAGAGGTGATTTTAATTGGTTTTACTATGAAAAGAACCTTGAAATGGAGCTCAAAGTAGCAGAAATTTTTTATTTTTGCCGATGTTCAAAAGTAAACAAATGATGTCATTTTCCAATGTCCAACTAGCCATTCTAATATGCAGTCATGAATGGGTTGACATTATTTAAACAATTATTACAATATTGCAATAGTCTGCATAACAGTAAATCTTCTATTTTTTGTGTGAATAAAAATTCAAAATAGAAAGCAAGAGTAATATCAGAGGGGCCTGGAGACATGACTGATGAACAAAGAAAATGTTATTTTAGAGCCAGGAATGTCTGCGCTGTTCATTCTGGACCCTATTTTGAAATTGTCATATGTTTTAATTTTCGTGAAATTGGCCAAATTGCAAATTTCTGATCACCTTATTGGGTAGTTGAAATCAGTAAATGGGCAGTTTCTTGTACTCAGTCGATAGAAAAAATGGAGTTCTAAAGAAATAGCTACGAGTTTGGTTGACTGGAACAATGGAATTAGCCGAAAATAGGGCTCAAAGTGGGCGAAATCGCCAATTCGTAAATATCGCTAACTTCGCGAGAGCGTAATTCCGTCATTTTCCATCAAATTTCATTCCTTTTGGTGTCATTACAATAGGGAAAATATTCTCTATCATTTCATAAGAGAATTTTTTTGTGGGGGAGGGGGGAGGGGGGGATTTTGCGACACCAGGAGACACCTCAGGATTTGGGGTTGCGACAGTCAAGGGGTTAAAGAGTAATTTCAGTTTGTCCCATGTCTGCGGGTCTCTATTAACATTACTTATTATATATTTACTCTTTCAAATTTTCTACCTGTCATGTTGCTTTTTTCAAGGTTACCTTTCTTACTCCTTCATTAATTTCATTCACTCCTAATCCCAAGCAATAAATTTCTCCCAGTTTATTGTGTATAGTAATCTCTTGTAATGTGCTGTGTAGTGTTATAGTCCGATGTGTTGTGTAGCACAGTAGACTGTTGTATTGCTTAGAGTAGTAACATGTTGCTTTGTGCTGTATACTGTATAGTGCTGTTGTGTTGTGTATAGTAATATGTTGTCTTATTTCATAATCTGCCTTTAACAATTTTTCAAAATATTCTCTCCCTCTCTAACACCTCAACCTACATTTTTAGCCTCGCTATTATCCCTTCATAACTGACAGAGTCATTTATTTCCTCAACCTGTACATCTGCGGCCTGGTCACAGACTGGGCCGCGGGGGCGTTGACCCCCGGAACTCTCTCCAGGTAAACATCTTAAGGTACCTTAATAGTTCCACATTAGTAGCTCCAACAATATTTCAACATACACAACTCCAAAGTATTACAACTTATACACATGCAAACTTCACCAAACATGATAAAACAAAGACATACTCACGATTTTTTAATGAACCAGCAGTCTTCCACTGAGGAAGGGTGACCCCCCCCCCCAAAAAAAAAAGAGGAAACACTTTCACCAATATTCATTCAATCACTGTCTTTCCAAATGCATGATGACATCATACCGTCATGATCTTTCCACCAATATACAAGATTTATACAAAATTAAAAAGTCCTCTACAAACAAGTGACAACACTATTATTATAATCGAAGAGCCGCGCTAAACCCAAAATAGGTACCAAAAATTAATCTTACTTGATCATGCATTAAAAGAAGAGATGCTCCATTATACAAGAGATCTAAAACTTCACTGTATTTCTGCTGGCTGCAGTATCTGTAAGTAAATAACATTATCAAGTGAGAGAGATTCTAATGTCATCACAATCTTCTGCATCTATAGTGATAATCAATTTATTCATTAACAAATTACAGTACATGTACTCAAAAGTAATTCTTCATAATCTCAAAGTGGTTTTGCATTTAAAATATTTTCATATTATATACCATATGGTAAACTCTCAATTAAATAGTTTGGAAAATATGGGACAAAACCTGCTTGGTCAATTAATTTGGAAATAACAAAGTACAGTGGTCATAAAATTACCCATTAGTATTCTGATTGTGACAAAACAATCTCATCTCTATATGCCACAATTGCAGTTACCAGCCACTCACTCCCCTCTATTAGTCTGTTAAATCGAGGTTTGACTACTTAATTTTACCACTTATCAAACTTTATTTTACACAAAAATGCAGAGTATAATAATGTCACATGTAATACAGACATAACTGTAATTGTGCACGAAGCCTAAGAACAGGCTTTCTTGCTAACCACCTGATCAGCAAAGTTCTTTCTGTCTGCATGTAATATTCAGGCTCACCCTGTCATCCAACCCATCATCCACATTTGTTACAGTGCATATTGACATGCGTGAATGAAGTTTCAGCACTGTATACGACCCATGCTGCCTGAAGCAAGTCACCAGTGTTTCATAATTACACTGTCATGTAATTATATGGAAATATAGGTTAATACACATTAAAGGGGACTAGAAGACACAGACCAGCCAGACTATGGGAAGCAAAAGAGGGGAGCCACAACCTCTCCAGTGACAGGTGTTTTAGGGCCAGGAGGGAAAAAAGACTGGCAAGAAATGACAATAATCCTACACCAACTGAAAACATTTCTAAAGCAGAGGCACAAACATTGGCCTCTACTCCAAAACAACAGATATTAGAGTCAGCAAATAAAACCCTCCTAAATTCCACCAATATAACAACATTTGTCTTTGCAAACATACAGGGTCTAAAGCCATCAAAAAACAACAAAATTCCTTACATCAAGGGACTGCTCATGGAGTCAAATGGAATGTATGCAGCATTCACAGAGACCCACATAAAGGATCATCATGACAATGAAATATGGATCCCAGGTTATAACCTATTCCGATACGACAGACTAAACAGGCAACAAGGGGGGGGGGGGAGTTGGCCTGTACGTCACAGAGTCACTCATTTTCACAGAACTACTAAACACCTCAATGATGTAGCTGAAGTTTTGGCAGTCAACTATAGTGATAATATAGCATTTATTGTGGTGGAGACGGAAAAAAAAAATAGAGAAGCTAGATACAGCGATTGATAAACAAGGGTGGAGGTCGACCGTTCGTCATTGTAGGAGTGCCAGCAGTCACCGGCTCTTCAACACGCAAGTTATACTTTTTTATCAATCAAATCACATATTACTCGGGTAGATAATTTCCAGTAGATCCTTCATGTGTTAGCTCAAATCACCGACCAGTATGTTTTAAATAAGTGACCCACTGCTCAGATCAGATAGACTGGTCCGAACCCTTGACTGGTCCGAACCCTTAACTGGTCTGAACCCTTGACTGGTCCGAACCCTTGACTGGTCCGAACCCTTGACTGGTCCGAACCCTTGACTGGTCCGAACCCTGGACTGGTTTCAAACGGTTTCGTGCACTACCTAGCAGGTTATTAATAGAATTTTCAAGAGGTTGCTAGTAGAATTGCAGTAAATCAACCATTCAAATCATTATGAAGCTGAGTGTAGTCTGTGGTCAGTCAAACAAACGGGCTTCCACATGCATAAATTGTCATTTTTGTGGAAATTGGTGTCACGCCCCTTGTGCAGATATCCAAGAACTAGCTACAAGCAGTATTAAAACAGGGAAGTGTTTTTGGGTATGCCCAAATGAGATAAATCTGTGGACTAAAATCACAAGGGTATTAAAAGAGGTCAACATCAAAGCTGCTTTCATAGAAAACCTGGAAGCTTTCTACAACAGATGGGAACATAAAAAGTCTGGGCTGAATGGTACTGCCCTTGATACTGGCCATGTAGTCAGAAACTGTAAGGCTGGAGATGATGTCCTGGTAGTCAGTAAATGGGGGGCTGATAGTGCTGTCCTGGGAGACAGTAATGGTGAAGCTGGAGGTGCTGTCCGGGGAGACAGTAATGGTGAAGCTGGAGGTGCTGTCCTGGGAGACAGTAATGGTGAAGCTGGAGATGCTGTCCTGGGAGACAGTAATGGGGAAGCTGGAGATGCTGTCCTGGGAGACAGTAATGGTGAAGCTGGAGATTTTGTCCAGGTAGTCGGGAATTATATGCAGGAAGGAATACATATAAATGACCTCATAGGGACAGGAGCCATAGTAGGGAAACAAGTGTAGTCAAAGATAAGATAAAACCAATATTGCAAACTAGAAATACCGCAGGAAATAGCAAACAAGAGGACTCCACTAGCAATAGTGAGGATATATTACCAAAAACAACTGGTGGGAGCTCCATTGTTGGTGCTAGGGAGGATAGAAGTAAGACAGGGAAACATGCACCAACAGGGAATACAGTCACAGAAACCCAAGGCAAACGGAAACCAAGCCTGTGCACATACTATGCACTCGGTATCTGCTGGCATGGGAAATCTGGAAAAACAGATGGGACGTGCAACTATGACCACCCTAGAAAATGCCATACCCATATGACAACAGGAAAATGCAAACTCCCTTCCTGTAAGCTTTTTCACCCTGAACTGTGTACCTCTTCAGTACAGGAAAGACTGTGCTATAACTTAAATTGCCAGGCATACCATCTAAAGGGACAAAAAGATACAAAACATCCAGGCCATGGAAAAACCTGGGTAGCCACAGCCACTCAAGAAGGAGAGGTTTTTTAGTGCCAGGAAGGAAAAAAACTGGCAGGAAATGGCAGAAATCGTACACCAAATCCAGTCATTCCTGGAGTGGAACCACAGTCGATGGCCTCCACTCCAAACCAACAGATACAGATACTAATGCCGGAAAAAAAATCCCCCCCCCAGTACCAACAATACCACCAGTCCGATAACATTCTTCTTTGCAAATATACAGGGTCTAAAGCCAGCAACAAACAACAAAATACCTTTCATCCGTGGACTGCTCGCAGAGGCAAAGGCAATGTTCGCGGCTTTCACTGAGACCCACATAAAGGATCACTTGGACAACGAAATATGGATCCCAGGTTACAACCTATACAGATGTGACAGAGTGAACAGGCAAAAGGGGGGGGTTGGCCTGTACATTGCAGAGTCACTTGTTTGCACAGAACTGCTAAATGCCTCAAATGATGTAGTGGAAGTTTTAGCAGTAAAGGTCGAGAACCAAAACCTAGTCATTGTGGTAGTCTACAAGCCTCCGGATGCAACATCCCAGCAATTCCAGGAACAGCTGTTAAAAACTGACCACTGTCTGGAAAACCTTCCAGCTCCTGCACCAAACATCTTGCTCCTGGGGGATTTCAACTTAAGGCACCTAAAATGGAGGAATATAGCAAATAATATTGTTGCAGTAATAACACCAGGAGGCAGCTCTGATGAAAACTCACACTCACGCGAGCTTTTAAATCTCTGCACAAAATTCAATTTAAACCAGCAAATAATAGAGCCTACTAGACTGGAGAATACACTAGACCTCATCTTCACTAACAATGATGATCTGATAAGAAATGTTACCATATCAAAAACAATATACTCAGATCACAACATAATTGAGGTTCAGTCATGTATGCGCGGAGCCCCAGACCGACATAATGAGATTAGTCACGAGGGAGCATTCACCAAATTCAACTTCAATAACAAAAACATAAAGTGGGACCAAGTAAACCAAGTCCTAACCGATATAAGCTGGGAAGATATACTAAGCAGCACAGACCCCAACTTATGCCTAGAACAGATTAACTCGGTGGCACTCGATGTATGCACAAGGCTTATTCCTCTAAGAAAAAGGAGGAGTAGATGTAAAACAGAAAGAGACAGGCGCTCCCTTTACAGGCGACGGAAAAGAATAACAGAGTGGCTAAAAGAGGTCAATATATCTGAAATGCGTAGGGAGACACTGGTCAGAGAAATAGCAAGCATCGAACTTAAGCTAAAAGAATCCTTTAGGAGTCAGGAATCGCGGGAAGAACTAAAAGCCATAAATGAAATCGAAAGAAACCCAAAGTATTTCTTCTCCTATGCCAAATCAAAATCGAGAACAACGTCCAGTATTGGGCCCCTACTTCAACAAGATGGGTCCTACACGGATGACAGCAAGGAAATGAGTGAACTACTCAAGTCCCAATATGACTCAGTTTTTAGCAAGCCGCTAACCAGACTGAGAGTCGAAGATCAAAATGAATTTTTTATGAGAGAGCCACAAAATTTGATTAACACAAGCCTATCCGATGTTATCCTGACGCCAAATGACTTCGAACAGGCGATAAATGACATGCCCATGCACTCTGCCCCAGGGCCAGACTCATGGAACTCTGTGTTCATCAAGAACTGCAAGAAGCCCCTATCACGAGCCTTTTCCATCCTATGGAGAGGGAGCATGGACACGGGGGTCGTCCCACAGTTACTAAAAACAACAGACATAGCCCCACTCCACAAAGGGGGCAGTAAAGCAACAGCAAAGAACTACAGACCAATAGCACTAACATCCCATATCATAAAAATCTTTGAAAGGGTCCTAAGAAGCAAGATCACCACCCATCTAGAAACCCATCAGTTACACAACCCAGGGCAACATGGGTTTAGAACAGGTCGCTCTTGTCTGTCTCAACTATTGGATCACTACGACAAGGTCCTAAATGCACTAGAAGACAAAAAGAATGCAGATGTAATATATACAGACTTTGCAAAAGCCTTCGACAAGTGTGACCATGGCGTAATAGCGCACAAAATGCGTGCTAAAGGAATAACAGGAAAAGTCGGTCGATGGATCTATAATTTCCTCACTAACAGAACACAGAGAGTAGTCGTCAACAGAGTAAAGTCCGAGGCAGCTACGGTGAAAAGCTCTGTTCCACAAGGCACAGTACTCGCTCCCATCTTGTTCCTC